GATATTATAACAATGTAATATACAGTAACTGTATAAATATTCTCCTATTCTAGGTCAAGTTATAATAAATACTGAACCTAATGAACTAGTTGATGGAGAATCTGATAGTGTTACCTGTTATTATAACAATATTATACAGTAACTGTATAATATTCTCTTTTCTATTCTAGGTCAAGTTATAATAAATACTGAACCTAATAAACTAGTTGATGGAGAATCTGATAGTGTTACCTGTTATTATAACAATGTAATATACAGTAACTGTATAATATTCTCTTTTCTATTCTAGGTCAAGTTATAATAAATACTGAACCTAATAAACTAGTTGATGGAGAATCTGGTAGTATTACCTGTTATTATAACAATGTAATAGACAGTAACTGTATAATATTCTCTTTTCTATTCTAGGTCAAGTTATAATAAATACTGAACCTAATGAACTAGTTGATGGAGAATCTGGTAGTGTTACCTGATATTATAACAATGTAATAGACAGTAACTGTATAATATTCTCTTTTCTATTCTAGGTCAAGTTATAATAAATACTGAACCTAATGAACTGGTTGATTGATAATCTGGTAGTGTTACCTGTTATTATAACAATGTAATAGACAGTAACTATATAATATTCTCTTTTCTATTCTAGGTCAAGTTATAATAAATACTGAACCTAATGAACTGGTTGATGGAGAATCTGGTAGCGTTACCTGTTCTTTTAACAATGTAATAGACAGTAACTGTATAATATTCTCGTTCTATTCTAGGTCAAGTTATAATAAATACTGAACCTAATGAACTAGTTGATGGAGAATCTGGTAGTGTTACCTGTTATTATAACAATGCTTATACAATAACTTTATCTCGATCTGGTGATGATAGTAATATAGCTAACTGTTTTGTTACTATACAAGAACAAGATTGTAATATCCTAAATCCTGGATGTGAAAACAACTATACCGACTATAGAGAATTCTATACAGCATCTAAAACAACTACTAGTGTAACTATACATATTGATACAGTATCTAAACAAAGAGATGATGGTATCTGGAGATGTAGAGTGGATGAACTTCCATCTGAATCATTTCAAATCAATAAAACTATTAATGTTAAAGGTAATTCTATGTTACTAGAGCTTCATTATTTCATCTAGTTTTAATTAAATAGACTCTTCATAAATAATTATTTATAACTAAAACAAATTCGAAATGTTGTCTGCACTGGAAATAGATATGAAAGAAAAAACCGGAAAACATATTCCAAGATGTCGAGTAGGAACGATATGAGATAAATAAACAGGAAAGGAACGACTTTTGAATTGTTAATTCCTACAAATCACATATTAATAGTTTTCAATTTTATTTTGCCTTGTTATTTCTAGTACCAGTTAAAGGTGTCGAAATAGAAAATAAAAACAGTCTAAATCTAGTAAATGGAGTGTCTACCACAATGAATTGTAAAGTCACCAATAATCCTGATCCAGTAATAAATTATAGATGGTTTATAGTAGAAACAGATCAAATATTATCAACATCATCATCTTTCCGATTGACACCAAATAAAAATCAAAATGGTCAAACTCTATCATGTTCAGCAGACAATGGATATGGTAGTAGTAAATCTGATACTGTTATTCTAGATGTCAAGTGTAAGTATTTTATAAAAATATGTAACTATAATTTAA